GGGTCAATAACCAAAACTACCAGAATTTTTTGGTCGTTGGAAGATCCATATAGCCAGGGTGATGTTTGCCCAGAGGTGAATCCAAATGCATCGCCGGCCTCAGATTGGATGTCAGAAGAACAAACAAGTTCAAAGTAGCTAGAACCGGCTTTGGAGATTTGTCGCTTCACAGCAATGAAAGCAACGAGAACGTCAATTAGAATAATGATGCACAAATATGCACAACCTGAAGCATCCTTTGTAACACTTATTTCTGGCGAACCATGGTTTGGAGCACTTCTTGGAAGTTTGAGCGTTAATTGAGGGTATGTACACTTTTCAGGACATATGAGCGCTTTTTGGTGGTGTAAATTCTAAAGCCTACTGGTTCCTGACCAGTGTCCTTATCAACCCTTGTGGGCCTTTGGAGGCCCTATGGACCGGGTGGAAATCCTAAACGACCTCTCCTAGTATGTGCAATTGAAACCACAAAGGTTTGGTTCTAACTTGGCGTGCTTTATAACAATTTTTCCAAAAAGGGTGCCCGCAACTTGGGCGCAAATTCCCGCAACCCGGGCGCAAATTCCCGCAACCCGGGCGCAATGTTTAAAAAGTGGCGGATGGTTTTGTTACTTAAATCTTTTATGTTAATGTTGATACTGAAGATCAAAGAAAGGGGTTGCTGGCTGCCGCTTCGTAGTGTGTGAGCGTGGGGTGGGTGCCAGCATGTGGCAGGGGAATGGACTTGAAGACCACATAAGGTGAAATGAAGCTACATCTGACTTTCCAGTGGTACGTTTTTTCAAGGCATGAACGCTTTTTTTGATAATGCCAGTTTTTTTTCTGTCACTTTTTTCTGCTACGACGGAGGGTTCAGGAATGCATAAATATATACATTACAATGTAGCTCAACCCGACCCATCGTTGTCCTTGCTTCCTTTTGCTAAACTAATTCCACACCAGGTTGCTGTCCAAGTGCAGGATTTGGGTTACTGTTACTGTTGTTGTTGTCGTCGTCTTTGTTCGCAAACTGATGGGACCGATGTCGAGCACATGAGGGACTATTCACTCTTGTTCCATCGTTCGCACAATTGGTAATCCCATGATCCACGCTTTCCTGAATCCGGCAGAAGGCAAATACCGCCTTCCCATTCTGCGGTGACCACAAATGATGCCGGGCGTTGCATGGTGAAGGCATCACACGATGCGTCTGGCTTGACACGATGCGTCTAACAACGTCTAAATGATTAAGTATATATACTAAATCCAAGCCTGGTACTTGAAGGTGGTTTAATCCTTTCCGAAACCAACCAGGTAGCTTGTTGCAAACCGCAATGTTGTGATCCGGAAGTCTTTGTGGCCTCAGAAAGAAACGGTTTTCTAGCATGATCAGATCGTGTCGTTTCATGACCTGCCTGCCGCCAAACGCCCGGACCCGACGATGTGGCTGATTTTTCGAGTTTTCGGCCGAGCGGACTTTGGCGCATCGCCGAATTTGGGCATGGGGAATGTGATCCCATCCTGTCCCCAAGTCATACAAACGATCCCAATCATGGGGTGTCTTATAATAGCTCCTTAAGAGGGTAAGGGATGTCCATTAACCACCCCGAAACGGGCTCCTGGTATGCATGGATGTTTGTTTGGCTGACCATACTACACAATTGGACTGTCTTCAGGTTGAAATGTGTGGGACATCCATTCCGCTGTGGGACATCCATTTGCGTCACCAAATCCACTCTTTAAATGACAACGTTTGGTGTTCCCTAGCAGTGCTGCTGATTTGCACTCAGGGGCGGCTTCTTAACCACAGGAAGTGGGATGAACCTGTTAAATGGAGGCATCCCTCCAATTCCTCCAAATTCGCCTCTATCAGTTACTATAGAAACACGCCCAACACCGAGTCAATTCACTTGTTGTATATGATAGACTACCTGGGTAGACGTCATTACAAACAACAAAAACATGGCCCTTACCGCACGATCTTTATGCACGATCGTGACAGGAATGACCCTTGAACCGCCTACACTGACTGCCAGTGAGAGAAAACAGTAGAAAACGATGTCCATAAATGTGAAAAGGGGAAGACTTGCAGTTGTATCAATTCTATTTCCCAGACACTCCATGCAACTGGCATATTGATTGCCTACATTCAAACATATTTGCCCAATCCCATGCAGTGTTTGGGGCTTGCTTTGTGGTCCCCAAGTGACGCCACCACACCAAATCATGCAAACTTCACAAGAGTGAGCGTTGAAGCCAAACACAGCTCGGCCCCTGCGAAACCCTCCGCCGCTCCGCCGCGTGTGAAACCGCGCGGCACGCGGCTTGACGCCAGTGCTCCGATGGAATCAGCAGCCTGTATGTCGATCCTCAAGAGATCATCAAGAGGTGCCTATGTAGCGGTATAGAAGCGGGGTGGGGGGACTGGCAACATGTTGTCTTATAGCCTTTGCAGTCGATGATTGACTTACGATGTAGCTTTTTGAGGTGGATCCTGAGTGATACGCCACAGCCACAAGGCGACATTCCAAACAGCACGTTTTGTATTTGTGACTTCCCTGTAGGGCTTGGATCTTTAGTTCCACTTGACTCATGACTCGAGAGGTTGGTTGACAACTGAGATAACGTACGAGACCCTTAGGATGATAACATGAGACTCTTTTGTCAAAAACATGTTTAAAAAATCCACGGCAAGTGTCTACATTGCCTGATTCTGTCCACCCGAACCACCTACTAAGCAATTGTTAGAGCTTCAGCAGTCGTCTCTTACGGTCGTCCGCGGGCGAGAGACGAAGACGTGTCCGAAAAGACCCCGAAGCTGCACCGGAAGAATGCGAGACTTCTTCTATCTTCTCATACATGTACCCGGGTTACCCAAGGGTGTACCTAACCGTACCGTTGGTTGAATTGGAACTACGAACTGCAGTGCAACACTTCACAGCCGTGGAGCAGATGCAGCGTGCATGTCGAGTCGCCCCGAACTGTCTCCAAGAGACCTCGACCGGTCGACAGCGAGACAGCACCGATTTTTTCCGGTCGACCCGAGGACAGCGGTCGCGAGGTCGTATAGCTTCAGGATGCAAAAGGATGCGCACTGCGCACTGGGTTTCCCATGGGTGGGGAATTTGCGTGGGTGTTGTTCACTCTGGGTGGCCGCTGATGGGGTCCATGGGTCGCTCGTGGCGGGTTTTTTCGGGTTCAGAGGGAGAAACAGGGTGGCAGCATGAAGGGTGCGTGTTCTGTTTGCATGGAATTCTTTGTGATATCTTCATGATTTATCTAGCAAGATCTAGCAAACAGCTGGCGGTGTATGTCCTTCAATGTGGTTGGTATCAGTTGTTTTTTTTGGATGGTTTTGGGCATACAGTCTTTCTCATTTGGGATTATGTCTTCTACAACCTTGTCATTTCTAGCGGAATTGACCGTTGATGAGCTATGTTATGCATGGGCCTGGGATACTTTTGATGTGTTGATGGACCAGAACTTTGAAACATAATGTGGTCCTTTGATTTATAAATTCCCCTGAAATAATGTCAGCAAATTTCCCTGCACTGATTAATAACGGCCCCCAGAATAATGTATTGTTTTTGGGGGGGAGTGATATTTTTGGTAAACTATGTTTGTATTGTTGTTTATTGATTTTAGTCCTCTCTATTGCCAAAGATAGCTAAGTAATGATTCCTTTCTTTTTTATATAATTATATAGTATTGCCAGAGATAGCTAAGTACTATAATGATTATTTTCATTTTCATCAATTGATTGGTTTTCTATAATATTGTGCTAGGGTCTCCAACTGTTGAGGGGGGGGGCCGGGGGGGTGATTTATCAAGGGACTACAGCCCCAGATCTGCAGAATTTGCCCATCACTCCAAAACGATTGGTTGGTGGATGGAAAGCCGGCTTGATCGAGTTTGATTCCCTACAAATTCCGATGGATCCCAAAGGATCCCAACATTTGAGCCAATGGTTCTTCTTCCAGGTTCTAACTGTGTGATCAAGGGTCACAGGGGCCACAGGGGCCACAGGGCAGCCAACACATTTTCTGCATTGTTCTGGTGTTGCGAAGGCCAAGGCAGACTGGGGATGTTTTGCTTTTTTCCTGTACTTGGTGAGAGAATGAAGACATTGACGTGAACTGGTCGAAAGATCATGACTGCGCCCTTAACACACGGAAACGGCCAACACTCCCAATGAGCATGTCCAACACTGCTCTGGTAGCAAGAAATCCTTCGCCGTTGGGATAGGGCAACAATCTGGATTTACGGTGCCTTCGAAGTTCCAGGTGGCTTGTAATTTATATAATAGGACTTTCAATATCTTAGGTTTGTGAAACTCCTGAAAACAACCGAGGATAATTTAGGGAACCTTGTTCAGTAATCACCACATGAGGTTTGGGTGATCTTCAACAGTTTCAACAGCCTGATTTGATGCCTTCTGCATCATTCTGCCTATCAAGCTGCCTGGCAAAGGATAGAACCCCTGCGATGAATGGAAGTGCTCCAGGGTCAGCCACTGTGTTGGGGGATACACATATGTTAACCACCTTCAGATTGCTTTGCTCAGAGTGTTTTTTCTTGAACAGATTGATCAACTCCATTATATATATGACATAATAACGTAATAAAGCAATATTATATGAACTGATCGCATGTTGATGTTTCGGAAGCTGTGGCAAGCACCAGATAATGATTTACCAGCCCAATCCAGCAGGACGATTTTCCAGAAAGACACGTTAATGGTACACTGTCGAATCATGTGTTTTCCATGGTTTTGCTTAGGGTGTTTCTTATTTTTCCGTATATGGGTAAATCCCTTTCTGGGGAATATACTATATTTTTCAGGTTCTATTTTTATAAGCAAATCAAATCCAAGTTTCTGTGTTGGTTGTTGATGGGACACGTTGGCCATTAATCCAAAACCACATGCACGTATACTTCTCTCCCATGCTAGATCATGTAGCACATGATATCCTTCTGGGCTTGGAGCTTGCAGAGGCATCCAACACGTGGCAATTGAAGCCATGGAATCCCGCGAGCGGTTAACCCTGGAGGCCACGTGAATTGAGAGTTTTGAACGAGCATAATGTGCTATATGCGCTATGTGTGTGAGCATAAACAGTGCATTTTGTGAAATTTTGCGCATGCGTTCCACACGACGACTTGTGCCTGTGACACGTGTGTTTGTGTGTGTGGCGTTCTTGCCGACATGAATTCTGGACCATGTTGCAGCAGGAGGGTGGCAGCCAAGATAGCACTCGAGATTTGACCCCCAGGTTTGCATTCCTTAATGTTGACTGTTAATGACCCCTTTTCAATGGACTAGTAAAACCCCTTCAATCCTCTTGATAATATGGGATTGGTTGATCAATCAACAGTGTACATTGGGGGGCTCTTATCCTTTTTTCTGCAGTCAATGAAGCCGCAGATGAATTTTTCCACGAGGGGTGTGCCAAGGTTTTTTGCCTCATACACACCAACCCCATGTTTTCCAGACCTGCGCTTGACATCTCGCATGCGGCCACAATTCCTGAGAGTGCTTATTTGACTACTACTGCTGCTACTGCGGTTACTCGCTGTATCTTTGCTATTAACCCTTTTAGACAACGTTTGCATACTTCCCTCGGAATTCCTGGTTGGACTTACCAAGCTGCTCTTCTGTTGAACAAATGAGCCAATCCATGAATAGCCTCGGTCAATGAAGATCCCCTTCAATGTTAAACCTCATTACAGTAGATACCTGCTTGACTTGCATGGATGCTTGATATGTTGGCATCCCTCCAGTGAAGGGTTTGGAAGCTCCTCCCTGGAACGGCAATTTTAGACCGACCAGACCGGCGCCAGACCATTTCGCTCGCTCGCGCCGCCAGGATTTCGCCTCGACACCATCGAACGAGGCGCGGCACCGACCCACGAATCCGAATTGGTCAGGGGGTCCGGACCCAACTAGTAACAAGTGCCACGCTAGTAGTAACAGGTGCCTTACTAGTAGTAACAAGGACGCTACTAGTAACAAGTGCCCAAGGATTTATCTCAAATCCCGATGCCATCATCTTGAGCGTGCCCAGGGCATTGGAATTGTTCGTTTCGAGATCGATGTGCCGTTGGAAGGCTTCGGGGGGGGTAGGTGTTTTGGGGCGGTTTTCTGCGCTCCACATCGGAACCTTCTGGGTGTTTTCAGGTGAAAGCAGTCCCGGCTGAACATTGGTCATAGAACATCTGTCACTCCCCACTTCAAATCGGTGCTGGATTCCTTCGATTCCTTCGATGGTGAGGGCATCGGAGACTATGATCACCCCTTCGCAGCTTCCAAATTGGAGCCAGTCTTTCTTCCCAACGTCAACGGCCATTTTTGTTTGGAATCATGTCCGTTGAACTACACCGGCAACGGACTGTCTTCCATTACAACCAATCCCCTACTACGTTCAACATGCTCATGACTGAGAGAAACATTTTATCTAAAGTAACCTTGAGATAAGATTTGTTCCAATCAAGGTGGTTCAAGCATTCAGTGTCACATCTATATAATTGTTCTATCCTGAATTTTAATATATATTCTGACTCACTGAGTTGGATGTTTAAATTAGACATGTTTCCTTTGACAGGGGCCAGTATCCACAGTTTAAACGAGTGCAACTGGTATTTCGACATAGGTCCTTTCACCTGCCCACAAGGGCACCGCTACGTCGTAGTGCCTAGGCGTTTGATGCGGTGGCTTGGCTCAACCATCGGTGACTGCCTTAGTTGAGCTTGAGCAACGCACAGACAGAGGCTGAGAAGGCCGTGTTGAAAGAAACAGGAAGGGGACACATCCCGGGAGATTGGGGACCTAGCTGAAAACCTCGTGATTCAAAGGATACATGAATGCAACATGTGTAGTAATTCATCCACATTGAATATAGTGGAGTCATATGTCCAACCATTGTTGTAAGATGCGTTGCATTCTGTATAGTGCAGGAAGTTTTCCTTTAGCACTTCGAAAGATGAGACTTGAACATCACGCCAAAGATCACCTCATTTGGTTCTGGACAAAAAAACACGTCCAACATCGAGGCTCTCCAGGAGTAGCCTGCCAATGGAGAAGTTGGATCAACACTTGTGGCAGCCTGAGAGACCAGGGTGAATTTCTCCGACATTGGGAGTGAAGAAAGAGGATGTTGAGGTGGAATCCTGCATGCATCCCCTTAGGACTTGAAAGAAACAATACATGGTGAACACGGCATGCTGACAGTGACAGGAGCACAATCAGCAATCATATTAGCACCTGTGCACGGGAACACCGCGGATTCATCTCATGAACTGTGCTCAAAAGCCTTGTCAATAAAAGACCAAACCAAACCCTGGTTCGCAGAAGCCTGCGTAAGCTTCTTGCACATATGCATGTGCGGAAGCAACAGAAGCCAAAATGACATGAAGACGGCAGAAGCAAGACCTTCTGAGCACCGCTCGCACCTGGTCAAAAACCCACCCGTGCCATACCATGGAACCGAGCTATTCCAAACCATAACACCTGCAGATTCACTGAGACACTATACTTTGGGCTTGGCCGGGTCGACAGAGAACTGGGTCACAATGACGTGAAAAGACCGGAGCATCTTCGAGCCTGAGAGATCTGGAGCGACGTTGGTGCGTTTTCTTCCTGAGAAATGGTCCGAGATCTTATGAGATTTTCGAGCCACTCAAATGATCTCAGATGTTGTTTCCTCAAATGGTCTCAGATGTGTTCAGAGACATTTGCGACCAAAGGCTTTTGTGGGCCTTTTGGGCCTTTTGGGTCATGCCTCCACCGCCCATCTCCGTCCCGATCGGTTGATGTCGGTGTGGACCAAACCGAATGAACAGATTCCTGCTTTAACCTGCTTTATGGCTTGAGATCCCTGGTTGAACTGGTTGAACTATCTTTTTGGGTGGTATGCCAACTCATCCAAACTCATGTTTTTTTTGGGTTCCTTACTTGCTGGCGTACGTTATCTCATGCACCAGCCACACACCCCTTGCCATTGTACGGGATTTGTAAAGGTTGTTGCAGGTACGGCAGACCAGAAAATTGAAAACTATCTATATAAACCCACCAACAGCCACTTGGGCAACTCCTTGACCAAACACATCACAAGAGACGAAGACTGCAAATTGAAAGCGGCACCATGCAATATGTGCGGTTCAAGTGCTTTGTGTAAGACAAGCATGGCATGCTGCACCGGTCATTTCTTGCATTTCTGGCGTGTGTTTCACGCCAAGGGCATCACTGAGTATGAGCTGTGGCGACCTGAGATGGGCGAAGTGGGACAAGGAGTTCTTCTTTTTGACACTCAAACTTAGATCAGCGCAGCATAGATGAGATTAGACTAAGTAGCAATAAGTATGTGATCAAGTGCATCACTGAATCCCGATTCAAAAAATACTGGAAACCGTGAAGCACAAAAAGCACAAGTGGTGCCAGTGGGCAGGAGATGGAGAAAGTTTGGCAGTTCGTTGTCATTCATTCACGCTATATAGCAGATATCGCGCAGTACTCCTGAGATCCACTCGTCAGACCCGTGAATGCCCTCACTCTGCACCTGACGCAGCAACAAGGTCAGCTGCTTTGTCAAGATACCTCAGAATCCATCGAGCTTGCCAGCAACCAGCTGGCGCGGTTTTTTCTGAAAGGGATGGATCGTTTGGCGGGAGCGGATAGGGGTGATTGGCGGTTTTCTTGGATGGCTATTGGAAGGGACAATCTGATGAGTATGGATGGGTCATAGCTGAGGTGAGTTGAAGGGAAGTATTTGAGCTAGGAGTCAGTTTTGTTCTAGGGTTTTTGCTCCTTTTAATGGCTTTGGTGGTGTGGAATTGCACGTGCTGCTATAAGGCTGCAAAACGACGACAACCCCAACCCCAACCCCACAATGCCAAGTAGTAAAGAATATTATATTGTTTGGCAATTTTTTGGCAAAGCGACAGCCACAGCAGACTCCCATAACTGGAACATCCCCATTCCGCTCACGCTCCCATTCATTGTCCTAGACAGCGGCCAGAGGATTTTGAGACGCAGCCAATAATAGGTCATATCTACATCGTAGTTCATAATTTGCCTTCTTATTATAAATACATTTCTCAGGTCAGAGGGCTTTCCAGTCTTTCCTTGGGCCTTCTTTGTCACCATTCCCTTCCAGAAGTCTCAGTTCCACCTCATCTCCATCGCGATCATCCGTGGGAGGTGTCGCAACTGAGTTCCGCGGGACCAAAGATGGAGACCATGCGACAGGAGGCCGCCCTAGACCGGTCGCGAGCGACCTCGACCGGTGGCGAGCGGCCAGGGCAGGAAGGTGTGGGCTCACAGGGAACGATGATGGCTTATGTCGATTTCATGCTACAGCAGGTGGTTGGAGGAGCAGTGCAGAACATGACTTGCATGGCAAGGCGCCTTCCGGCTGAAAAGGACATTTCTCACTGCTGCACCTAGAAGTATATCTATATATTATCTATATCTATATCTATATCTATATATCTATATATATATATCCCTAGAACCTGAATGACCTTTATTTTGGACCACCAACCACTGAAAATAAGGTCTTTTCCTATCAAAACAGAGGTCAAATGGGTTTCATGTCTATGTCGACATATATATATATCCAGATTGCCCAATGCCCAGTTGGGTCCTGCGACCTTTCCGCGGATCCTGAGCGCCCAAGTGCCGGGTCGAATCGACCGCCCAACCAGGCCTCCAAGGGCTATGGACGCCTGGGCGATGTGCTTGAAGGCTTGAAGGTGCGTGTGATGAGAACGGGAACATATAAAGAGGGGTGATGAAAACCTGACAGAGGGAGAGACTCCATACATATGACTAATGAGCTGGCTGGTTGATTTGTTTGGTTGATTGGTTCGCTAGCTGGCTGGTTTATTGGTTGGTTGCTGAGAGAGTTGCAGTTGCAGCATGTGACTCGTTTGCATCGTTGTAGCACTGCATCGAACACCTCGGAATTTCCTAGTTCACCCATCCATCACCCACTCAACATCGCAGAGGTTCAGACCCGGGTCGAAGTCCGCCGGCGACGCAACTGTTGATATCAACATGTTGGACCAAATCGTGATTTTTTTGGGGGTTCAGTTTGGCTTTGGGGGGGTTCACAAATACACTTCGACATTCACCCACAGAACGGATGTGGATAGACATGGATAAAATTTATAAACCCAATCCGCACCAACCACATTCTGGCAAGTACTCATGGTGCCTATCTTGATATGTTTACAAAACCCCCACTAAGAAGGAGAAGCCAAAGACGTTTAAACATAACCAACAACACCAACACTCTGTTTTGCTCACCCTAAAACATCCTAAAACTCTTCCGTTTTTATTCACTTCACGCATCAAATCCCTTCCACTTGGCACCACGTCCATCCCCTCCAGGACGCTGACGACCGGAAGCGCTCCGGGCTCAAGGGCCTCGCGGAGATCGACGTGGTCAAGCCGGGGCACCCGTCGTTGGGTTCGGCGAAGCTGGTTGGGGGAGGAGGCCCACGGTGCAAACGTGGTTGGAACTCCATGGGACTGCCATATATGCCTACATTGACCCCCAAAACCACCCCAATGTAGGCACATATGGCATACATGGAGTGTCTGGGATCATTGTACTTTGCATATCTTGCATGTCGATTTGAACAAGTCGATGGATGTCGCTGGACTGGTGACAGGAATGTTGGTGACATTTGTTGGGCAACTTGGACTGGGGGTTGGACCGTTGTGACGATCACTCCTTCTGTATATCTATGCCTACGCCTACGCTCTCTCCCTCTCCCTTTCCCTCTCCCTCTCTCTCTCTCCCCTCTCTCTGTATCTCCCTCTCTCTTTATTCAGGGTTTAAGGTAAGGGCCAGCAGGTCTGAGCTCTAAGATGTAGTGAGTTTGTGTCCAGTTTGTCAGTGGGATCAAGACGCTGAAGATTGCGCTTCAGCATCCCCATGGATTCACTGAGGATAATCAAGGATCCATCCCACTGGTTTGTCAGTGGGATCAAGGATCCCATCCTATCCCAACCAAGGATCCACCCTCTCCTTTTTCCTATCCTTTTGCTTTGCTTGGGGATCATCCCCTGTGATGCAACACTCCAGGACACGAGTGGAGACCGCCTGCAACGCACTGCGTGAGGTGGGCAGAGAGACACACCGGCAGACACACTGGGACGGGAGGAGGTGAAAGGAGGCGACGGGAAGATCCAGCTCATCAAAGGTACACCCTCAGATTTCAACCAGCACTGTGTTATTAGTATGCGTAATATGTTTATTAGCCAGAATCCCGATGGATTTTACACTACTTAAACAAGGTGAACCACTCTCTAAATGGGTTGTGCAGGCTATATAATTACTGGTACAGTGCATTCGCTAGGGCTCCTGCCCCAGATAGTGAGCAGAAGGTGTGGACAGACCCCCTGGCAATGGGGCCACCCCTTGCACCGAAAACCGAAAACACCAGGTACAGTAGGCCCCAAAGGATGGTCGATCGACACGGTACCTTTCTAGAGACCGGTCACCGTGATTGATTAGAAAAGGGATGAGCAGACCCTCCATCGGACTGGTATATTTACCACTATTTAAACCTACATTGGGGTGGTTTGAGGCAGTGATCAATGTACTGTAAATGGCCAGTCCCAGACAGGTCTGGGGAAACTTCCGATTGTATACATTGCGATCCTTCACACATTTTCACACTGTCCATGTGCAGAAAATGCGACCACTGTGAAGAGAGAGAAAGAGAGAGAGAGAGAGAAAAGAAAAAGAACACACACAAAAATATGCGACCTTCGACGTGAGCGATTCCCAAGAGCTTCGACCAATGCGGATTCCAATCATGAGCCATTGATTGTTTCCAGTGGATGTTTGGAAACTTGACAATTTGTTTGGGGGCTTGGAATTTAGGCTGAGTTAAAGTAAAGAGTTCCAGTTGGAGGGTTGGTTGGTTTTTTCTTGGTCTCGAGTTGACGTTCAGGGCTGAAGGATGGAAGAAAGACTTCTCCAGATATAAATGATTACTGAAGACCTTCGATGTCCCCAAAATCTGCTTCGCTGTCCTCTTTTCTTTGAAGTCTGATCTTTCCCATGGATCCAAATTAGATGAAGACATATATGGCTTTCCAGATGGCTTGGAGGCTCCTTACGCTTGTAGCCACACGGACCGAAACGGACCGTCCCGACCCTTCCGACGCCGTCGGTCACCAGGTGGGCTCTTGGGAGCGGAAGGTGAAAGACTGCGAACAGATGGCCGCGCAGCAAAGAGCTGCGCGTCGCGGTCGCGAGACCCGCGGTGTCCTGCGAGAGACATCGTCGAACACATCGTGTTCTTGTTGGAGGGTGGAACGTGCGGAACGAGGGTTTTTTTGTTGGTGACGGGGTGGGTGGGAGTTGCGCGGTGTTGATGGCCTTGAAATCGTATTGGGAACCGTTGTGCAAGAAAGCCGCGTGACCTACTATGTGACCGTGTGACTATATTTGACCTGTGACCCTGAAATGAACACAATCAGAAGTCATGTCGCAGGTTCAATCCAGCTCCCCTTCGGAGTCACGGGTCGCTGGCTCCGCCGAACAAGCTCCGGTCCCCAGCCGAGGTCCACTCGGGCAACCTGGGCGAAGCTTTGGGGCAGCTCAAGGGTCTCCAAGGCGCGACCGGTAGAGGTCGAGCGACGTCGGTTGCAGCGTTCGCGACGGGAATAGATTTTAAATGATTTTAAAGAAATAGCAAAACAGAAGCAGAGGAAAGATTGATCGACATGTATATAACATATTGCTTTTGACAGTCCGAAATCCACGAAAAAGCGCGGCAGGTGAGTTTGCGTGATGGGAGACGCCGAGGGGCATCAACGAGGGATGACCCTCAAAAAACCGCTTCCCTCCCGGCGTGGATGTGACAACGGCACCCTCCCGGCGTGCCCTTCAGAGGGCGGACAACCTCCCAGCCGTGGCATTCCGAACCCCCTGGGTTCGGCGACCAATGACACACCGGTCGACACGGGCGCGAGTTCGTTTCCGGGACCTCCCGGATTTCACATACACACCCTGTCTTAGAGAGGGACCCAGAGGGCATAGAAGTCGGAGAAAGACGATTTTAGATGATTTTGGCATGTGTTCAATTGCAATTCAGACCAACAGCCTTTCGCTACACTCAACAACACAAAGATGTACACGTCCAGGGAAAGAGTGTGTCTTACTCCAGCTTGGGGATGCTTGGGGTATGATTGAACTCTGGCTGGTTTTGCTTGTATTCCAACAAGTCACAAATTCCAAGAGCATGCCACAGGTTTTTGCATGTTGTGTTACAGTAATTTCCCTTGCCCGCATCATTTCTTGAGTCAGGACACTCACTGTTACTACCCATGCCTGCTTTCCTTTAAGGTTACATACTTACCCTTACTCCAAATACAATGGACATGAAGTGGCCTTTAGTCTAGAGGAAAGTGGCCTTTAGTCTAGGTCGTCTCCTGTATTCTCTTGTTAGTCTAGTGGTCCATATCCAATCTGATCGTAAGAGGGAGGCTAATCTGATCGATAGTGTTTACAGCTCACCCATGGGATTGGCGCACACACTTGGATGATTGGGACCTGGGATTCGTCCATGCCGAGGAGAACTAGAAGTAGACGTGCTTCTTGAGAAGTAGACGAACAAGGAACGCAGCATAGACGTGCTTCGACAACGAACGCAACTCAAAAACTCCACAGCGAAGTGAGGGCGAGTTGTGGTGGCTTTGTTGCAGGTGATTGGCCCAATTGGTCTGTCGATTTGAGCTGAGACGTGGTGAGGGCAACATCTGGAGTTGTCCCCTCTGGCCTGGAGGTTGGCCCTATTATCTTCATTGTGACCAACCTACAGCTACAACAACCACTACCACCATGGACCACAATCGACACTATCGCCACTACAACATGCATACTCTTGAAGATCGGTGCATGATTATTGTTTAAGAGGGATGGTTAGAGGAACTTTGAACAATACAGCTTCAGTACAAATTTGGTAACGGTAAGATGACCTCTAAACAGCTGTGATGTAAATAATTTTCAGATTTAGTTTAATGTCTTGCTCCTTGGCACCACGATGGCCCAGTTTTTGTTGACACGTCAACGATTCCATTTGTTGCACGTTATATCGCTATTTTGCCATCCGTTTCTAGCATGCACATTGCATTCTCCTTGAAAAAACATCTTTGGTCATGAAGTTGTTGGTGAAACCGCGGCGATTTCCCGTTGGGGTGGTCCGTCGGCAAGGCGTGCTGGACGCCTTCCGGTGGGGTGGCTTGGTGAAGGGTCGAGCACTCCGGTTAGGCCGTTGGTTGGGTGCTTTTGTCGGTACCGTCGGTACCCATCTAGTAACCATGAGGAATCCCTTAATGTTTGCTTGAACATGAACAACATTATATACACAAAAACGGGCAATGACATCACATGCTTTAATGGAAATCAACCATGAATCCATAATCCTGTTCGTCGTGGAAACACTGCTTTAGGCTTTAGGCATGTTTCGGCCGTGGTTTTCAACCACATCCGTGGTTTCGGTGTTCGTTGGACCGCGACAGATGCACCGTTTCGAACATCAAGCAATCAGTGGTTGCTTTGCTCTCGAGTCAAGGGAAAACACGGATACTTTAAGTTTTGCGTTGAGCATCCGCAGGATTTGCTGAACCATCCAGCATTCTATTATAAATCTATTGGATGATGTGGCTGCATGAACCACCATGTGGGGTGCTTTCCGAGCCAAGCTCCTGACTTCGATTAGATTGCACCATGTTACATGTTTCACACATCTTTCACATGTTTCAGGCTTCAACATGTTCTTCGTTGTGTTCTATCGTTCGCTTCACGACGAATACGTGGATTCCATGTGAAAGTCACTCACGTGGATCGAGTCACGACCTCTCTGCGCCGTCAGGATGCTCCCAGAGTTTGCACGGAAGTCGGAGCAGCTGTCGCAGCTGGAGGCTGGGCCCGACGGGTACCGGATCCGTTTGAAGCCCCGTTCGTGCCGAACGAAGGGTTCACGACAGACCCATCAGACCCGTGTCAGGTGTGCGGTATAGCTATAGGGTGAGAGGTAATTATAGGGCGAGATCTTGGGACGAAATGCCGACTCATCGCCATATCCTATATTATTTCCATATATGTCCTAGCAAATCAACATGTGCCCACTCATGGAGCTCCATGTATGATGATGTGTGTACCTACCTTGGGGTAGACCAAGTAGGCATGTTTTCCAGGTCATGGAGTGTTTGGGACAAAGAAGAATTGGGTCCATTGTGAACTGGGTCGCCTTGTTTCTGGTAATCTAAGCGCAAGTGACGCGCGAGCGTGTGGGAGGATCTACCGACCTGAGCTCCACTCCCAAAAAGAACTCAAGCTCCTAGTAGCGATGCCAAAAGCCCCTAATAGCTTCTTGCTCCTAGTAGCGATGCACTTGTTACTAGTAGATCTAGTAGCTTAAGCAAGAGCAATGTTCCGGGCCTACTTTCTCGGGGGCAGTTGCTCTGATTCAATTTGGCATCTTTCTGGCTTGCTCCCTTATGCGGGGATGTTTTGGCCAGTCGGTCCAGGTTCTTTGGGTTACGAAAGGCGAGTTGGTATGACCACCGTTCCGTTCCGCCGGTCTTCCAAACGTTGTGACAAAGACTGGGGAAAAACGTCAAAGCATGGGGTTTCCCATGGCAGTTGCGTCCCATGTTGCAGTAGACATGAGTGCCTTTTCAATTGACAGAGCATTCGCATGGGACTCTTATAGCTCGAGCGACTGGCGACTAATCTACCACTGAGAGATTACCAGGTATGAAAGGTATCATTTGGACGACGACTCTACGACCATTTTGACAACTCTACGTATTGACCAGTGACGTTCGAAGCATCATCCTGGAAAAGGCGAAGGTTGATTGGCAGAAGCGGCAGAAGTGTATTTCGATCGGCAGATGCTATCAGCACGTCCAAATAGCAAACAGCGAGATGTTGCGCACCTACTTACCCCCATTCCGCTGGTCTGAATTGACCGCACTCTCCTCCAGGAGCAGCTGCTCTTCTCCGCGCGGCGCCGCGCGCGGAGTGCCTTTGAGAAGAATAGCCCTGAGGAGCTCCGCGTGTGCAGCGAGGTCCGTCGCGGAGCCGAGCGACTGGACGACGGTCTGCTGGGTCCGGCGGTCTGAGGACATCCGAGGACCGAGTACAGTATTTAACCCCAAAAGAAGGTTGAGATGTACAGGGACAATTGGCAATGGGAGGTGATGGGTGTTTGTTTTTGACTTGCTTTTTCATGTTGGAGGATGTTGCTTGATGAATGGGTGTGCAAACCAAGGCTCAAGGCCTGTTTTATGAGATTATTTAGACCAAGATCATCAACGATCTATAGATTGACATGTTATGAGATTATTTAGACCTGCAGCAGGTCTACATTACAACCCTAGAGCTTCGCCCGGATAAAGGATCAGTTTTTGACTCCCAAGTAAATTTTGTTTCAAAAGGTATGCTCTCCTCCGGAGAAGGGTCCGTTAGAGTCCTACTCTACTCTTTGCAAAACTGACAATTAGTCCATTTGCATACAACTCAAAACTTGGCTACAACTGCAGGTTTCAGAATCCACAAGCTATGTCACTCTGAAAGAGAAAGTCCATTTGCATACAGCAGAAATCGATGAAACCACCCCGTCCCCTTCCCGGAGGAACCGATGCTGGTCAGCCTGTTGGAACCACCGAACGACCAGACTACCACGGTGTGCGACACGCCAAGTACCACGGAACTTGCTGTTCTGCTACCAGACGAAAATGGACCCAACCTGTCGCAATCTTGGACAGTATTATAGAGTAACAAATTAAAATCTGTTAAACAAGCGCCTACTTCCCCCCACAGATGTGTTTTTTGGAGTTAAGGATAGTTACTCAAACTTGTGAAAGCTGCTTTTCAATTCACGTTGTTCCATGCCACTTAAGACTCAGGCCTCTCTGTCAGATGATTGTTTACGGTCCCAATGGATCACGTTCAAGCTCGTTTTTCATGTGAATCCCATAGCCAGCCCCTCTATCGCCGATTCAAGGTTCTCATTCGGCTCAACTTCCATCGCTTCCATCACAGGTCTTCTTTGGCATGCAACGCCAAGAGGAAGCAGGAGTGTCGGGCAGAGCCGGGGCTCGAGTAGTGCAGAGCCGAGTAGGGCCGTCATGGTAGGAGAACTTAAAGCAACAATGCGTCCGGCCCATCCGGCTGTGGTTCTGAAATGGTTCAATTATATAAGGTATGTGTCCTATTGCCTGTAACAGTCAGCAAACAATTATCACTATTTTTGAACAAGGCCTTTATTAACCATCATCGTTACTGGCAATAGGATAGACCCAATACAGTACTGAATTTGTGTGCCTCTTTGGGCGATTGTCTCGAATCCGAGCATAGTGACTAGACGATGCGGTTCACGATGGTGACGAGTTGTTTCATGAACTCCAAGGACGACACGTGGCAGTTTGACCTGGGGAGATCACTTGAAAGGTGACCAGGAAGGGGAAGAAGTTGAGCCAAGTGATGTATGTTGCTAGCAGTTAAGCCATGTGATGAGTTCTTTCTTTCGGAGTGTGTTCAGGGTTCCGCAACTCCAAAGGGACTGTCATGGAACAGGAGGAGAAATTCTATTCTTCCCGGTCACAAGGTGAGATGTGTGCATGTGCCACTCATCCATTGATCCTTATTCCTCATGCCAGCACAGCACCAACTATCACGTCCGCCTCCGGTGTCCAGCCTCCATTGCGAACGGTGTGCTCCTGGATCTTTGCGAGCGAGCCTGGAATAGCCAGGCCGGGGCGTCGAACGGACGAAGAATGGATCGGACGATGCTACGCACGATGTCGAGCTATATCTTACTGGAAGACCAATGACCAATGTCTCAGTTCCCAAAGAGTTCTTCAATGTTCTTCAGGTTGCTTGACGTCACGACCCCAACGTTTGCCACGACCATGCTATGTTTGATAAAGCTGCCTGAGTGTTTGTTTCCAGCTCTGTAGCGTTTGTGCTGGTGGTGCCAGGTGAGGGTGTCTATAGGTTGGGCCATGGCTGCTTGTTCATGTCTAGTTCTGTTGGGCCATTGGCTGTGTCTCTTGAAAAGGCGACCACTCAAACACCACAAAGACGCATTGACAATTCAACTAGAACTCATTGCTTGGGCATGGTCAGGAGGTTTTTCTCATTATTTTATCATATCATATCAGTTATGCAGTGAGTTTATCATATCGGCCTAGATGGGCCGCCCTGCTTTTCGTTCCCCAGGTGTTCGACCAATTTCATCACCCCCGAGTCAGTCATGGTCTGACATGGGCCGTCCCACCGCTTCCGCCCATGGGGTGATGAAGACAGACGTCCAGACGACGCAGTCCTCGGTTCCGTTCGCCCAAAAGGCGACGAGTTGGCCTTGGCCGACCTTTTTGGTGAAGCGAAGTGTATAAGTTCCTTAGTTCCTGACTGCGCGAGATAGACCGTTGGTCACCCCTTGACTTTGAGAAGAGGCTTCCTTGACGGGTCCAGTGAGGACCAGACAGGAGGGTCGAATGAAACAACCGGTGCATTCGTTGACTATGGAGGAGTTTTCTCATGTTTTCTCGGATGGAGGTCCATGGCTTCTCATCTAAAGCTCCAACTACTTGAGAAGATGGGACAGGGGTGGGTCGGTGCTAGGGGGTCTATCCGCCGAACCTGAGGGTTGGAACAGCTCTTTTGGGTGTAGTTATTCTATAGACTATAGAGAGCCCCGGCCAGAGAAACCCGACGGATGCGGCGGATTGGGGCGATGGAGACAACACATTCGGAGAAGAGAGGTTTCTGGTGGGTGCTCTCCTCAGCCCCGGGTCCACCTATCCCGGAAAAGTGGATAAGCTTCAACCTTTTTGGGGGATCCCCACTATATAACATCCAACAGGTGGAACAAAGGCAACAACTTTCCAGGGATCTCCAGCGCTAGTCAAGAAGCGCTAATAGCGATGGCCTCCAAGCTAACAGCGATGGCCTCCAACCCACTAATTAGCAATGGCCTCCAACCTAATAGCAATCCACTGGCCAGGGCCGTGCGCCAAGCTCTCCTGGTGACGTGGCTGCTGCGGCGTCCACGAGCTTTCAAGCCTTGACGCAGGTCGCTGCCATGATGTGTCGAGGTCGCTAGGGGGAGTAACACCAAGTTTCGGTTAATGACGGTTAATGTAGGTCAGTTATTTTAATTGTTTCTTCTTCTTGCAGCACCCAAAAGTAGGCAAATGTGGCAGTCCCAGACAGAGTGTTTGGGATTGTATAGTATTATATTTGTCCTTTACATGTATGTTGGGGTATTGGCTGTGTCCCTCCAGCCCGTCTAAAACCATCAATTGTGTATGAGACCACCCTTTCATGGAATCAATTCTCTGACTGATTCTCACTGCCTCACCATTTTGAATTTGACTGGAAGGACCTTGAATTTGACCATGCGATCTGGAAAGCACTTGATGCACCAGCCACTCTTGTGACTCCTGTGGCCTCTCAATGCCTTTGGGAGGCCTTAGATGAGCGATGGCCCTTGCTGCAGGCGAGCTGAAAATGGAACAGTCTGCCCGCGAGCGAGCCATCACTTCATTCTTAGATGATCTAGATTACTCTACCTGGACCTTCTTTCGGGGTGTCCTGTCTGGAGGTCCCGGATCGTAGTGACCCGGGGCTTCCAGCCAGGTGACCCCGACATGAATGTGCTGTTAGGTTGATGCAAAACTAGCTGAAGAGCTTGGAGCACATTCCACAGCCGCTAAATTAGTCGTCCTTGCCCGGCGAGTCCAGCTGGGTTTCCCAAGGCCTGTGGATCGGGCGTTCAAACGCCGAGCCACATTCCGGAGATTTAGGGCGTTAAAACCACATGCTATGTATTTGGGCACTCTGCTTGTTTTGGTCCTTGGAGTGCCAGGACCACAAGTGGGAACAAGCCAAGCTTCTTACATGTGTGAAGCCAGCTGCACAGGGTCACATTGAAAAACATGTTGCAGAGCATGTGGGAACTTGTTCAAATAATTTCAAAGTTGTTTTAGGCTTCGGGAAAGCAAAACAGCGAGATCCCGAGTCCACGTGGCTGCTACCTCCGAACCCGGGACTGCAGTGAACACGAAGCTAAGTAGATAGAGCATGGGACACTTAGAACATGTTGGTTGGGGTGCAGATGTGAAGGACGATTCCCATTTGAAAGATCTAAGGATCCCGGTGTTTGCATTGCAAATGACCATGAAGCAGATCTTGTTCAAACGAAGCTGCACACACCCTACAAAAGAGTTGCTGGACTACCTATTTCGTCACGAGGCACTGGAGGCTGAGCGAGAGGAGGAGACCGGGACCGGCGGCGACCAGGGTTGTGGTGTGTGGCTGTGTGTGCCCGCGCTACGTTTTGCAGTGCTCATCCAGTTGGAGGAGCCGGCATGCTTTTGCCTGAGAATTTCAGTGCTGAAAAGTGCTGAACATATATAGGGCAACAAATTGATAGAAAGTAGTAGATCGTGATTGTCAATTGTGTGTGTGTTATATATGTCTTCATGTTGGATGCCAAGAATGTATACTGTTGGGATACTGAGAGGAGTTGGATGTTTTTGCCGCACAATCTACCAAACCCACGTGTTTCTTTGCTATAGGTTCTTCAGTTCTTCACGGAGAAATGCTGACTTGAGGTCGATCCAGTCTTCGTCAAAGGTCTCCATGAAACAAATTGGTTCAGAATGGCCACTGATCCTCTAAAACTTGGTAAGTCTTCGTAGTGATTCGCGATGTCCTCCTAGCTGCACTGAATCCCCTACTTTGAGGGAATGAGGATGAATAGCCTCTGCTTCCCTGCCTGGCAAATGCTACGAGCTCGGCCCGGCTCCCAAGGGTTGACCCGGCTCAGGATGTCATACCGTCATACCTCAGGATGTAAGCAATTTTGCGGTTCTTTGGTGTATGCGTATTTATTGACGTAGCTATAGATCAGAAGAGCTATTGTTACCTTGGAGTTGTACATAGTTTTGTTGCATATCGCAATGTGAATGTTCAGTAGCTATAGCTCATTTATAGTTTATACCCAAACCGAAACCGAAGAAAAAGCACTTTTGGGGGTCACTTGGTCACCTGCATCCGCTGGTTCTGGCCATCCTCCGCCACTCGACACGCTCGTGAGCGAACGCCGCAGGAGTCATCCAGTTCAGCGCCCGCAGTGACAGCAGCAAAGGTGCGGCACAGTTGCTGCGAGAAAGCACGCAGCAAAGGTGGCCAACCAATTGGTGGAACAGTTTCCACGAGAGTCCAAGTTTGACTCATTTTACTAGTGTAGTGGTGAATTGTGACTTCCAGGTAGGGTGAGTCAAAACGGAACTTGTGGGGTTTACTGGGCAGTTCACAACACCAGACCGGAACAGGATTTACTATGTTTGCTAGGTTTCCTCTCTACAGAACTAACTAATTAGTGACTTACAATGACTTATATAGTAGATGGTTCGTGTGTCCATGTTAGGTTTAGGATGCCTTAAGGCTGGGAGTGCCCAAGCACCACTTTGGGTATGTGGAACTGACCCAATCTTTAGTGAGAGACCTCCAAGGTGAAGTTCTGGTTTCCAGCTGAGTTTGGCTACAAGTGTTGACAAGTTCCAAGATCCCCGCTTTAATCTTGAACTCTTGTTTTCACTCAACCAAACCATCAGATGATCAGGATTCAGTCTCTGAGGTGTTCCCGAAACTTCTGCAAGGCTCAACAAGACCCTTTTCAGGATCTTGAACTTTACCTTTCGGGATGGCAGGTCGTACCATCATTACATGATCAAACCCTCCATGTCCACGTCTGCCAGAAATCAACCGACTTCGACACAGAAAAGTAACTTCGAACCGCATCCGACCCGTTCGGCACCGTTCGGCCTTTCCCGTGTCGTTCTCTTCTCCGCCTTCCCAGCGTTCGGCCGCGTCTCCACCTCCCACGCGTCCTCCGGTTCGCTTCGGTTCCGTCGCAGGCTGCCTTGGGCGCCCTGAGCCAAAAGCTCTTGACCGTGCTCGATGGCCGCGACGCCGACGAGCTGTCACGGGCCTCGATGGCCGTCGGGTGGCCAAGGAGGACGGGAGGTGGTCGAGTGGCCAAAGCTGGAAAGAAATCGGATTTATATATACCCTGACGGAGTAGTGAGTAGTTTCCTGATGTGGGTGAAGTCTTAAGACACCTATAGTTTTGGGAATCCATAATTTCACTAAAATTTGAAACTACTCATACCTTCTCAGAAGGTACTTGGACCCTCCAAGTCTACATAAAAGTGTCTCCAATCACCCTCTCAGAGGGGTATTTGGATCCCTGCATATGATTTGTGTGTGCTTACAGTACTGAATAAACTAGTACTAACCAGTCAAACCTGAAAACCACGAAAAGAAATCTTTTTGAAAAAAAGAAATCTTTTCCGGAAATAGTTTTCTTTCTCCGGGTTCTCCGGGTTAGTCCGGGTATTCCTTTCTTAGTCCGGTTTTTCTTTTCTTGGTCCGGTTTTTCTTTTCTTTTCACTGTTTTCTATTAGTAGGTGGTGTCTGACCCCTACCGGATGTTGAAACACTCCCATGGCAACCCTGGCCCTCGTGCATGTTTTTCCACCAGGTTCACTGTGGTCAAGTCCGCCACAACCGCCATAGAGACGTCAAGTATACATCCAACATCCTGTGGATGGTTGACTTTGGTGAAACACGTCGGCTGTATCGGGCAAGTTGCCCCACAAAGCCCTCATCCATCTGGCAGTTGTCACACATCGGCGACTCCTGCCAGGTCAACTTCCTTGCATCCAGCTCCATGTTACGGAAGGTGTGCACAAGCATGTGGAATTTCGAATGTAGAGGGAAGCGGGGCTCACCACGTTCAAGAGATTCTGTCGCCAATGCCCTGTAGCCTCTGCAGGCACACAGCCCATCAGCAGCAATGCCAGCGGCTTCATCATCTCGGAGCCAAGCGCCAGCGCCATACAGCTTGCGCATGCAAGAGTTTATGCTTTTTGCCACAAGCAATATCAAGGCAAGGCGCCTGTCAAGCAGCACCAGCTCCGCGCGATCAGGCTGCATCAAAGCACTTTCAAGGAATTCCTCAGCAATTGAACTCGGGACGCACTTACCAACCAAAACCGCGGAACAAAGAACATGCATGGATACGAGATCAAAGAACAAGCGTCGCACAGCAAAGTTGTCGTTGAACCCTTCTGCCAACCTCCCTCAGGCCAATCCAAAAACGCTGTGTAGCCACAGATCTCCTTTGTCAGTTTGCTCAAAGGAGGCTTGACTTTCTTGAGGCGGCAAAAGGCTCTCCACGAACACGTCATGCCAGCAAAGCCATCGTGCACAGATTCTTCATTCCAAAGGCTGCGGACTATGATGAACGCTGAAGACAAGAAATACCGGCCGTGGCCGAGATGCCAATTATGCCAGATGTCGGGGCGGTACAGATTCTCTGGTGAGCCATGTGGAGCCGGGAGCAAGGCAGTAAAAGGCTGCAGAGAATCCCATGGTGCAGAAGCCGCCGCGCTGCCTTCTGTGCGGGCCCAGCGCGGGTTTGCTCCACAGTCACTCAAAGGATAGTTTTTTTGCCCAGCCAGGCACCAATGGCAAACCCCATGTCCACCCTCAGTATGTCCAGCTTTTGGGGCACGCCTGAAATGACGATTGAGATCGGCGGCAGCTATCAAAAATGGCCAGTCTCCTTTGACGGAAGTGCATGCCAAGCGCAGCTTGCGGCCACCTGGTAGGTCAATGCCTTGTGTAAGGGCCCGATGCAGGTCTTCCGCAATGATTTTCATGGCATCGGCAATGACTTGCAGTTGCCAAGAGGCTCCGCCCTTCATCGCCATGGATTTTGATTGGAACGCAGCTCGAGAGGTGCTCCGGAGGGACATGGGAGAACACGTCATGGTCAGCGCCAAATTGGAGCTTGAAGCGCCTCCAATACTCTTCTAAAACACACGCGCTGGAGTCCAGAGTTGTGTCCGGGAGGAGTAAGGCCAGCCGGTTCCTCTGGGTCAAAGCCAAAACGAAGTCACTTGGCGGAATCATTGGGTGTTCTCTGGCTTGGCCCAAGCTCACATATGAAATTTTCATCGACACTTTCAACGCAGCATCTTTCAACGCGGCAAAGACGTCTCTCGCCTGGGATTCACCGTCCAAGTAACCAAGTATTAAGTCACACAGGCGCCCATGTTCGCATTTGTAACCAAGGGGCAGAATGTGCAGCTCCAGCCCGAGCCAAGCGCTGCAAGGTGCAGTCCTTCCGCGCAAAGCCGTTGGCTGCATCATCATCTAAGATAGCTTGGGCGTGCTCTGCAACTTGCACTGCCGGTGCCTTGGGCGATGTGCGAAGCAATACTGCTGCCCTTTGACAAAAATTGACAAGTATACAGGGCGGTTGGATCACTGCGTGCAAGTTTCTCCACGGGCGAGGCTGCGAGCCAAACTTTGCACCGTAGCACTAGGGATCACTTCAGCGCGCTCCGGCCGCAGGCGCTTTTTGCAAGGTTGTTCGCCCAGCAAACCTGGCCAGGTGAAGGTCTGGTTACTGATGCCTGCCTTCCATTGCCAAAGTAAGGAATATATGGGAGGTAGATGTGCGTTATATGTCACACCGTCTTTTTCTTTCGGAACGTTTCTGTGCATCCTCAAGACCCCAGATGCAAGGTTCTGGTCACAGGGCTGAGACTGTCAGCGTCCAATTGCTACAAGCTGCATGTGGCTCGGTTTGCAAAGGGTTATAATTTATGCTGCAGTCTTCTACGGCCCGTGTTGCACCCAACGATTGGACAGACTCTGCGAAAACTGAGGGCGGGGCAATGCTGTCCACTTCGCCGCGCATCTGGTGTTCTGAGATCATCTTGTCGGTCTCCTGAACCAACCACGGTTCAGGGTCGAGGAGTCTAGGGTGTAAGGTATATGTCATTTTGAAAGGCTTTTAGCTAACACCCATGGCAAAAATGCACATGCCTCAAGCATGCCTTCGAGCTGCTGCGTATCCAAGCCGGCAGTTTCCGTTCGAAGGCCCAGCTTCAAAGCTTCCACGTCAGCAGAAGGAAGCGCCACACCGTCGACCACTTGAGCTGCTCCTCGAAGAATTTCGCTACAGCTCCAGGCTCGGCTAGGCCACTTCCCAGCCATGTAAAGAACTTGAGGCAGCAAAATGGCTTTCGGCGCGCCATGTTTCTTTCATCGCACAAAAGACAACTTTTCAAAATACATTTCCTATCTCCGGGCTTTCTCTTCCGAGATTCTCTTCCTATCTCCGCCTTTTCTCGTCGTATCTCCGCCTATTCTCGTCCTGAGTCCGCCTCAGCATTTTCTCCGGGTTGCGTCGGCCAAACCAGGATAAAATAGAAGCTTTCTTTTCGAAGGTGTTCTTTTCTTACCTCCGGGTTTTCCTTTCTTTTCTCCGGGTGCCCAATTTCGAAAAACCAATGCCTTTAGAAACCCGGAGATTCCTGCCAGATTTCAGTTGGAAAGCAAGTTTTCCAACGGCTCGAGACACGGAGGTGCTTTGACCCCCTCAAATACATGCAGGCATCCAGCAGACCGGCTTCGGGCCAAGTGTCGGCCACATCTGTCAGCGCAAACAGCTGCGGGACCTCCATCTCGACCTTCGGTTGTGGAGGAGCGGCAACGCACCGAAGAAAGTGGGGCAAGCGCCGCACAAGGCGAAGTCCAAATGCAATGGGGTAAGACCTGCAAGCTCGATGTGCAACAGTTCGACAGAAAATACTCATAAACTGTATACGCAACAGGTTAACAAGCGCACTAAGTTACTAGCTGGGTTTGCTTCAGAAATCTGTTGCCACTGAAAGTAATCTTTCCGTTCTTGTTCACCTTCTTCGTGGTCTTGACAATGCAAGATTCTCGCATTGCCTTGCTGAGCTTTCCTCTGTCGAGGCGTCCGATCTGCGAAGTGTTGCTCCAGCAAATATGGCGCTTCTGCAGAGTCTGTCAACTGGTGTGCCAGTTCCACCCTGGTTCTCAAGCGCTGCAGCAGCAGCAGCAGCCTCAGCCTGCTTCAGCTTCTCCTCTTCCTGCTCTTTTCTCTTCAAAGCCAACCTCAAGGGCTAACAGGGCGCCTTTTTGGGAACTGCAACATACAGTTCCACTGCAGCTCAGGTGCATTTCTTGGAGGTGCTGCCGCCGCAGCGCCAACCGCACCATGCTCAGCTCGTTCGGACCATCCTCTGATGCAGGTGGGAAGGGCTGAGATGCTTCTGCAGAAGGGCATCGGAATATCGATGCGATTAAGCTGCAGAAATGGTTGTCGAAACCCTGCGAGTTAAATGGCTGCGCAACCATGAAAAGGGAATAGAAAGCTGCGAGCATGAAAAGGGCGCCAGAGCTGCAGATGGTCTGCGGGCATGCACAAATGGCTGCGGACAAGCAAAAAGGGCAATGTACGGCTGCAAAAGGGTGCCAGAGCTGCAAATGGTCTGACTGGCACACACACCCAATGGATGGAAGCCAGGACTGACACACACACACACACACCCAGTCCTGGAAGAACCACCTGGCACACACACCCAGTCCTGGAAGAACAGCCAGAACTGGCACACACACACACACACACACACCCAGTCCTGGAAGAATAGCCAGGACTGGCGCACACACCCAGGACTGGCACACACACACACACACCCAGTCCATGGACGGAAGCCAGGACTGGCACACACACACACACCCAGTCCTGGAAGAACAGCCAGGACTGGCACACACACACACACCCAGGACTGGGATTTGCTGCGGGCGTGTACAAATGGCTGCGGACAAGTGAAAAGGGCAACGCACGGCTGCAAAAGGGCGCCGGAGCTGCAAATGGTCTGCAGATTTGCTGCGGGCATGCAAAAATGGCTGCGGGCAAGCCTGCCAAAACAAGCTGAAGGAAAAGGCAGCAGAAAAAACACGTACAGCGCGCTTTTAAAGCTACGGGTTGAAAGCGTGAAAGGACGGCAGAATTTAAAAGGCTACGGGATGCTGCGGGAGGCTGCAGCAAAGAGCTCTGGAAAAGGCTGCGGATTTGAATAAAAGGCTACGGCCGGAAAAAAAAAGCTACAGGACAAGAGCAATCAAGAAATGGCTGCGGACATGGCGCCAGAAAAAGGCTGCAAACATGTTAGAAACGGCAAATAGGGAAAACTGCAAACAGGTGGCCAGAAGCTTCGAAAATACAAGCCGAACATCACGCCACACACGCACACACACACTCAGTCCTCTGCGCCGCGGGCTCTGGGCGAAGACTTCTTGGTTTCCAACTGCACAGGGCCACGCGCAAGCGGCGAGAACAAAAGACAAGCAAGCCTTCCAGGCCTTCGTCCAGTGCTCCATGTCAAGACCCCATGCTCTCAAGAGTTCACCAGTGCAAGCATCCTCGGACTGATCGAAGCAAACAATTGTACTGGGCAGAGGAGTGGGGCATTGAGACAAGTCACTCGAGGAGGCGTCTTGTTGTACAGGTACTTTTTCAAGAGGCTGTACAAGTACCGCAATGACCATGCTTGGTCACTGATCACTTTTCCAGACGGGTTGAGGCCAGCCGAGATGTAGAGCGCTTGCAACTCAGCCTGCAAAGATTCAATTTGAGGAACGACATGAAATTGGCCGCGCATCTTCTCCATCATCGGCTTCAAGGCCGGGGCATTGTACTTCATGTTCTCCACCGTCTTGGCCACAACCTGCCCTGCCTCTTCCGCCTCTCCTTCTTTCGGCTTGTCAACCACCAGCCGGCCGAGACTTCGCACGCGCTCCCGCAAACGACGGTGGTTGTCCCACTCCTCCCGCAGGCCTTCGAAGGCAGCAAAGACCCCTTCATCTGCTGGAACCATGAGGGGCAAGAGAGCAGCGCCTAGACTGGAGCAAGCGTGGCTGCATAGTGCACGGCTGCATGAAACATAGCTGCGCAAACATATAGCTGCTTCAAACACAGCTGCTTCAAGCTGCATCAAGACGGCTGCGTCAAACGCTGCACTTGCGCACTCCCCCGCGAAACAAGCCAGGATGACGGAAGCATGCACGCGCTGCATTGCCCACGCTTGAACAAAAATGGCAGCGCATCCACTCATGTCAGGATTCTCGTCCGAGTCCGGGTTTTCTTTTCTTAGTCCGGGTTTTCTTTTCTTTCCCTCTTCCTTCACAACCGCGAAAACAAAAAATCTTTTTTTCAAAAAGATTTCTTTTTGCTTGTTTGCGGCTTGCCTGGAATCTATACTAATGCAAGAATTCCGAGGAACAAACTGTCGCCTGAACCTCGCTACTGTACCTCGCATGACTTCCTGTCATGCCTGAACCAACGCTCCGGGAGCTTCCGCAACGCCGCTGTAGGAGGTCTAGGATGAACATGCTGAAAACTCAGATGCCGCACTCTTTTTTACGGGGCGGGTGCCTGGGTTGTTTCGAAAAAGCAAGCCTGCCCGGAGGTCGATGCCATCGGATAGAGGTGAGAGGTGATAGAAACACGACTATATGTTTCGAGTCGGAGCCGCGGTAGCCGCTTGGCTTCCTTTCCAACCCGGGAGCACGAACAAAAGGCTCAGTATTGAATGTTGCCACTGGAGGACTTGTCCTGTTTATCTCGCTTCAACTGCTGGAACCCAGAAAGAGGCTTCCCCAGATTGATGCATTTCGGAATATTTCACAAGTGTGGCACGGACATCCCGCGTCCATGATATGTGTTCACCGATAAGTAATCCATGTAGACAATTCATGAATATGAATAAAGCCCCCGCACATACCCGCAACATATACCATACGGTATACCAGGGGGTGTGGCTGCCTAGTTTATTTTATACAAAAAGACAGCTTTCGACCAGTGGGACAACTGCTTAGCACCTTTCGACCTGCCGGGTCTCCGGTTTCCGTCGACCACGGACACCAGTCGACCGAGGTCGGTCTACTGGGCGTTTACGTCGACGGCCTGGGGCAGTTGTGTCAGCTGCCCGCGCTGCAGCACCGATGGAGCGAGGCCGAGCTGTAATTGGAGGGGTGAAGGGATCAATCTGGAGCCTTCGTTGGTATTCCATGGTATTCATATACTATTATATATATACTTATATGTATGCATTAAAGATTATAAGTTCATCATGTTCATCCAAATTTATCCATGCATACAAGGATTTGGTAGCCATTGGTCCGGCTCATCCCAGGTTTTGAGTGTGTATGTGTTGTGCTTTTAAGCATTTTCTGAGGTACTTCCAAGGGTTCAGGTAAGCGGATTGGCATGTCTCAACATGTCCAAAGTTCTGCGAATCCAATCCTTTTGTTGCGTGTGAAGCATGGTATTTTTGTGTTTGAGAGGTTCAACGCAAGCACTTAACTTATATAAGTCAATTGGACACTTTTGGGGCCTTGTGGTACACAAGTGTTGTCAAGGGCTTCCTTACGCGGATGTTTCAGGAAGTGTGTCATTCAGATGTTGGTATGTGTCTTGGACAATCATTAAAAGAATGCAATGTCAGTTTTCAAGCGGTGCTTGTTGACTGGATCGCTGCAGTATGCGTGTTTGACGTACATGACACCTTTCATTCAATCTGAGTGTGGGTCAAAGTCAAACAAGTCTTTCTTCTCAGAGTCTGTCTTGTTGTACGACTTGCGCAGTCTGGACTTAAGCCATTGAACGGTATGACCGAAGATGACTCTTCTCAGATTGTGATCACACTAAGCTGTACGACTTCCCCCACACTATTTCGTTCGTTCGCTCGGTACAGACCACCCAGGGTTGGGTGGTCTCCCCTCATTGGTTGATCTCCAAAATCCTTGAAAAAGCTCCAAAACCAGTCAAGACCAAAAAGAAGGTGCTGAATCAAATCCAATTTGCCCCCAGCTGTGGCCCGCCCCAGCTGTCCAAGTCCGAGCAACAAAAGCCGCAGCGGTGCTGCGACCCGTCAGACCTCATCTGGGCGGTCGTTTTCCCAGGTTTGCTCCCCAGCGGCGCCCAATGTGCCAGAGGCACCATGGGGCAAAACTGGGAGATCACATCGATTCGAAAATTCAGGAGATCGTGAGGCTTCAACTGATTGACTCAACCAGAGACGGATGGTCCCCTTCTTGCTGTCATGTTGAGGATTTCTTTTGTTCAAGGTATACATGGACAGCATTTAGAACTCACCTGCCTCGATGGGCCGGCTCCCGCCACGCGTTTGGGTGCCTGTTTACTTCTAAAAGTTGGCGTTTGCGGGTCACTGGATGGGTGTTTTCTGCGGCCGGGATCGCTGGGGGGAATCCGAGCGCAGCGCCATCGGGCAGGTCCTTCCCTGGCCATTGCTCCGTACCTCGGCATGGCGAACGGGACGGGAGACGGTCCGGCGCCATTGAAAAGAGGTGGCCACCGATGGATGCTTTCAAAAGAGTGGGACTTGTTCGGGGTTCAGGTTTCTTGGGCAAACAAAAGAAACTTTCACAGCCAAAAGTTGACTTAAAGAAGGTATGAAAGGGAAGTCTTCCAGATTTCCAGATCTTCCAAAGGATGACAAAGATGACTCTAGATTCTCAAAAATTCATGGACGACGGCGATCCCAACACTACTCAGATGGATCGAGTTCCAGACATGTTCAGGGAAACGTTCCAGAACGAATTGAAGGGACCTGTACAACAGAAATGATAGAACATTGGAATCAGGGAAAAAAAAAACAACTTTCACACTGTTTGAAATCAGGCCCAGAAAAACACAAAAACAAAACCATTCGTTCAAGTCAAACAAAACTCGGTTGCTAGAATCGTGCTGCTTCCTACGAACATCGTCCTGGCCGGTCCTGGCCGAGGTGAGATTGTGCGCTTCGTGCTCCTCCGGCCTATGGAGGCAGTCGGTCGGTGTGCGCAGTCGGTCGAGCGATGCCTTGGGTTGTTCGACGCATCGGGTGGAGTCAAATGAAGCAAGAAGCGGACGTCAGAAAGCTGTGTTCATAGGTGTTTTTGGTACTGCACTGTCCTGAAGAAGAAGGCCCTAGAAGGGTTGCGGGTAGTAGGCAGAATCTATAGCAGTGTGCAAAATCACAGTAAGTAGCAGTAGCAAGTCACTCTGTATTTCTTGCTTGGTATTTAATTATCATCTTTTATGTAAAGACCCGGTGTCAAAGGGTGTACACGTTGAAAGCTCTTGCACTGATGAATAGGAACCCTCAAACACTTGCATTGGTCCCCCGCGTTTGGATGTCATCCATTCCTTTGGACTTCCTCGCGGCTCATTCCGCGCCGAACCAGGACGACGCGGCAGCTTTGGCGCCTTCAGCGAGCTCCTCCCTGCGGCCCTCGGAGGCTGACGCCCGTGCGAGTTCAGTCCGAGTGGGCTCCTGGCCGAGCGGCGGACTCGGATGTGGGTGGGTTACCATGCGGGGGGCCATCCCTACCAATGGGAGCCCGGATGTGGGACAGGAGCACCATGAGATACCATGAGGATTGATTCATAGCACCCTTGTGTGGAGAATTGTGGAGATGTTCTTTACAATAAGGTTTCCAAATCTCCTAGTGAGTCAAGAGTCAGCATTACTGGGTTTGTGAAGTTTGGTTGCATCATGGGGTTGTAACAACAAATGACTGGGACTTGCCGGCGACTGTGCTTAGGACTCACAAGACTAGGGCTTATTGTGGTTTATATGTCAGCAGACATGACCATTTTGTTCTGCCGGTGCAGGCACTGGGGGGTGCTCTCGGACATCATCAGGTGACACAGTGTGGAGGAAAGATCCAAGGCTGTTTACATTAAGTTAGTAGCAGGTTGGAGGCCATCGCTACTAGGGTGGAGGCCATTACTACTAGTAGCTAGAAGCTACTAGAAGCTAGTCTAGAAGCTATATTCAGTTGCTAGTAACTGGGAGATCAACCTACCAGGATTTGGGCCCAAACAGGGCTTCGGTTTCGATCCCATTGGGCGCCCCCTCGTCGCCAGGCCGTGCTCACTGCCGAGTCCAATGCGACCAGGCAAAGCACCGGGGTCGCTGGGAGACGACGCTCTTCAGGAGTCAGGCATGTGATCAAGCCAACTCCAGTTGATTATGTAATAATAGCTTTGCTAGCTGCTAGTAGCTTTGCTAGTTGCTTTGCTTTGCAGGAAAAATACCCCCATATGAAATGGTTGATCGATTCAAATGGGAGGGTTATTAATCAAGAGTCTACATTATTAACGTTGCTAGTCGCTTTGCTTTGCAAGAAGTAACTGCCAAACAATTATTCGTTTGGTCTCGATCAGTCCATTTGGGTGAGTATTGTGTTGCCGTTTTTCAACCTTTGATTTGTTGATTTCACAAGTCCCTCACCTCAGTAATTAGCATATCTTCAACAGCTTGTTCAGCCACATACACCGCGCCAAGTCGATCTATCCTCAGTTCATTTGCACCAAGTGAGGTGATGCCGGTGCCTCGAGAAACGGCCCGTTTGATGATTAATGGTACCACACATGGGCGGTATCCAACTCAATGGTTCCTTTTCAACGTGCGGTACCTCAGCTTGACGTTTGGGTAATAGGCTGGTAGCTTCAGGACGCAGCTTAGCGCTTCGATGTATGTATCGCATGACCTGCAGAACTTGCCAGTAGTCTAGGATCCGGAGATTGTCCCATAATTTAGCACAAGATAGAAGCCGACAGCACTTGTCACCCATTAAGAATCAGAGATGTCTCTCTTTTCTATGCTTTTCTCACCACTCCTGAAGTACCCAGTCGAAATCTGCATTCACTCCTGAAACCCCACCAGCCACGTACGCCTCGCATGCCAGGCTTTTGCAGATGCCCAGCACCTGGCGCCATCGTTTGGAAAGTCAGGGCGCCTCTCAGCTTGCTGTGCCCTGGTCGGGCCTCCTGGAATGCTGGCCAAGGGGGAAATGAGCACGGTAGTGTATACATGATGATACATGCACAGACAAGTGCAAGGAGGTCTTACTGCAATCGATCTACTTATCACTATGAAGAACCCGCCACAACCGAGAGTCACTCCTGAAAAGAGCTGCGCACCCTGCACATGTGTCCTACGCGCGAGGGCGTGATCATATGAAGATCCTATCGTCCTTAAGCTGGGCACATTCTGTGGACACTGAGTCCTTTTGACGTTTTGAACAAGGGATTTAATAATGATGAAGACCGTGGGAAAAGCAGCAGCAGCAGCAGCAGCAATAGCTACAGCAATAGCTAGTAGCAGTAGGAGTAGTACTAGTACTAGTAGTAGTAGTAGTAGTAGTAATACGAAAAATTGACCTGGTTGTGGGCTCGGATTAACTGGGGGGGATTGTTGGTAGAAAACTAGACCATAGGGGGGGAAATCAACAGCGAATAATACTTTTAATTTGGGCAATTTTCGGCGGCTTTGTGGGCTCGGGTTAACTAGGGGGGATTGATTAAGTCCTACTTTAACATTATCCAGTATTCCAAAGGCCTTGGTTCAGTTGCATCATCGGACTGTGAAGGTCAAGCTGTTCAGGCTCATTTCAGGCACTTTTTTTAGTGAACAACGAGGCTCCAGAAGGAAAAGCTAGTTGTTGAGGTCAGGATGCCAAAATGTGTTTGATTGAGAGTGTGTTATGTCATAGCAAACAGCGTTCGCTCGACTTTAGACTGATTGCGTGTGTGGTGCACCATGGTGCACCAAAGCTGCACAAGCAGTGCCCTTGAAACGATCGATGTTGGGACCCTGGAATGGGCATGCCCTGATAATCCATGGGACTAGAGTATTTACTTTCATTGACATCTCAAAACATCTCAACACCTAGGGATGGGCACTCTTCGGAAGACTGCATACTTACATTTGGCCCTGCTATATCGACAGTTTTGCAGGGTTTTCAAAATCACTTTTTACAAAGTTGTTTGGTGAGTATGTGATTTTTGGACTTTACTCATACATCTACAACAGTGGGTGAGAAAGGGAAAGTTGGAGAGAACATCTCTGTTGCGGGGTTGTTGTGATGGCCTCCAACTTGGTTGATCATGCCAGTGGTCATATACTTGTCTCAAACATTTTAATCCATGCATGTCTCAGTTTTTTAGCGTTTACAGAGTGGTGGCAGAGCGGTGGCAAAAAGCAGTTGTGGTGTTCGTTTTCAGGAAGAGTTCAATCTTGCAAAAGCATTTTGATATGCTTTTTGTCACTGGAGCCGGCTGAGGAGCCACGTGAAGAAAGAACAAATGACTCAAAATGCGAGGCCCCCGAAACAGTCGGATATCGTCGTCGGATAGGACATTAAATATGTATATTATATATAATATATACATATTTGTATGCAGATTGGAATTGTATAGAGTGAACCTTACAAATAGTTTGCAAAAGTTCTTGAATGATCGTGAATCCTCATGAACCCCTCAAACCTCAACTGGTCGAAAAAACATGGACAGTGAAACTCCCACGTGGCAAAAGTCAAGTGGTCTCCCTCCCCAGCCACAGCCCAGTGGATCCCGTTACAGTACCACTTATAGCTGGTAAGTAGTGAATCTAGTGATTGCCAAGACTAACTCATACTAAAACCATCTAAAACCATAGACCTCAAATCCCTGGTTCTTTACTACTGGTGGCTGGGATCCACTTCGGAGCTGCTCACCCATCAGCTTTTGAGCCCCCAGGTTAGCCTGTGTGGATGAAACCAATGGCGCGTACTGGCGGCTCAGCTTTGCTAGCGGGGTGAGCGGGGCAGCGCACCCAAAAAACCGGCCATCCGAATCAGGCCGCCTACAAACGCATGCAAAATCGCACACCCAAGCAGTAGTCCGCCACAGATGCTGAGTCGGGTGATCGAATGTGATCAAAGGGCGACAGACACAGGGGGTGTCTGGAGTCTGGAGTGGTGGGGCGACCATCCAGTCCTGAGACCATCAGAGGTGGATGAGACACGATACTTGGATACTTGTACCTTTCATTGGAAGCCAGCCACCTTGACAGGCCTCCTAAGCTAATTATACATCTAATTACTGTTGAGGAGAAGGATCTTGGTTTCCTTGATGTTCCTTGTGAGTTTAGACAACCAGGCTCACAAATCAATCTGTGGAAAAAATCCTTGCAAAGCTTCCCTCTTGCAGTTTCCCCCATGGGAAGAGATGCATCCTTGGGGCGTAAGACTCCGTCGCCGCAGCGGGGTGTCCATCCGCTGCAGTGCTCAGCATGTCGCTCAGCTTGCAGTGCTCAGGGTCCTCAGTCGGATTCACCAAGATGCCTTGAGAGTGTTGGACTGAAACCTCACAGGATCAACACTTGACTGGTAAGGCAGAACAGGGGATATTGAATAAGAGGCTTGAAACGTTAATAAAAGATAATCAACATATTGAACAACCGGCATGAATTGGCAGACATGTTTTTTGTAAGCAGGATCAAAACCAAGCCGAGAAGCTCCTCCAGGCGTCAATGGGAGAAGCTCATCGAGGTCTTCGAGAACACCTTGCGCGTGCGCAGCGCAGAGGTGCAAGTGTCGGTTCGATGATTTTCGGTGGTCCAAGTTGGTTCCTTTGTTTGGAGGTTGGGGTGAGATGTCGGCTTAGCTGAGTGTTTGGGGATAATATATGTTTGTCCATTTGGCATATTCATTCAGTTTGCAGTACCTAGTATACAACCATAGTGCCTCAGTCAGTATTGCTGGCCATGCTCGTACTACCCATAGCCACATGGAGACACAAAGTGGTATATAGGAACGCTGTCTTGGGCACATTGCAAGGATCCATCATTGTGATTGTTGCTTCAGCCAGAGTTTCTACTGGAAAGATGTTCGAAACATGTTTGCTTGGAATCAACATTCACGGATGCCAAGGAGCTACAGTTCCCACACCCCTTCTGTTCTTCGTTTTTGAATCGCATTTACGGCTCACCAACTGAGCAACCCTTTTTTGTTGGTATGTAAGGGTTTATAGTGATCCCTAAATAGATATAGAAACGGTTTTCATCGGCTTCCAATACATTTTGAAAAGGAGTTTACGTTTAATTCAATCTATTTGGGGGTCTATATTATGTCTGAAAGTGGAACTGCAAGGCAATTCCAACAAAGTTTTGTGCATGTGCGAAGGCATGCGAAACCAATTATCGCGTACACGTACAATGATTCTTCGCGAAGGCACCTTGCGTATACACGCAATCCTTTGTTGTAATTGATTCGTTTCTTGCAGTGATGAGTATCCTTCGCAGTTGTGGAGACATTGCTCATCTCTTCTGGGATATGTTTTGTTTTATCCCTCGAGGGAAGTAAGCATTGGAAAGCCAAAAAGGTGCGAAAGCACATTGCGAAGGCAACACATACAAGTTCAGATGCGAAGGCAGTGCTTCCAGTGTATAAGGCCCCATAGTTCAGTGGTCAAAGACCACTGCTGTAGCTGCAACGTTCACCCGTTCAATGGAATCGACAGCCGAATTTGTGTTTGTTTCCAACAGTTATATAGGATGTCCATAGTATGTCCTTGTGTTGTCCAACAAACATAATTACCCTAAGAATCCGGGCCCAAACCAACTGAATGGGTTTGGTTCAGGTCCAGACCCCTGCTACAGTATGGAGGGACAGTCCAAGGATTCTTAGGGTAGCATGAAGCACATCCACATTCTGAATGGTTTTGATTCTTGGACGCCAGAAACAACCATCACCGCAGAACATGTCGTGGGATTTCCATAGTTTGTACAGAACACACGTGCTCCATCGCAGCATTTGTTCGTCGCATCGTAGCCTGGCCCTCGCATGCAGGCCCTTGCCTCTGGTGCTTCAGGCTGCCGCATCCGGTGCTTCATGTGTTTTTCTTTTGTCAATTATTGTTAATTGAAACATTAGTTGTTTACATGTTATCGTTTTGAAAAAAATAACACACCTAGAAGTCGAGCCGAGGCGTCCCCAGCGTCTCCCTACATTCACACATCTAGCATCATCTAGCGATTGTCCTCTAAGAGACATGTTTGGAACAAATAAATAGCCAACCGAGTTCATCAGCAAACCAACAGTTGGGCCCACAGGCAAGGCCGAACTGTCCCCAACGGCCAGGTGGAGTCTAGTGTGATGGAGAAACGTGCCAGGGTCAGAGTTGTTAAATGTCCCACATCTCAAAGAACCAGAAGTCTAACCCTTTTCATACCTCTTTCTGCAACCATTTTCGTGCTTTGCGACCGGTGGAATTGCTCGGCCGGCCTTCAACTCGGCGAAGTTTGGAGGTTTCGACTCCGCCTTCCTGCAAGAAGTGATGCAGCTCCACTCGGTGCTGCATGAGAACTTGCAGAACAAGTTCACGAACTTCCAGGCGTCGATGTTTTTGTTTGATAGATGAAACGATCTGTTTTTTTTGTGGAAAAGGATCCTTTCGACCTGGGACCTGTTGGATGGTGACCAAGTATGGTCAGTCCATCGGTATGCGACAGACCCGCGACGGACCTCCGAAGTTTCTGTTGCTCGAGCAGCCAGAATCAGCTCCGGGCAGGGCATGGGGGAGCTGGAAGAAGTTGGATGTTGAAGATGCTGGAGCTATGTGGTGGACACATGTACATGTGGACACCGGATTTCTTTGTCTAATCCTAGGATTGAACTCTTCATGATTCATGTACAGAACATCCTGCATTTTTTGGGAGTTTCCTAAGTGCATTTTCCTGTGATGCTTAGTTTCACAGCCAGCACCCAAGAACCCCTCAGTCCAGCCAGCGCTAGGCAGACGTCATGCAGCAGGTCGGCCACTTGCGGTCCTCGCAGAGCGAGTCGGGGAACGCAGGTCGATGTCGGTGGGCCTTGATGGGAGAAGATGTTGAAGACCCTGCCCTGGGGTTCCTGTCCCACATCCGAACAGAAGGTGGTTAGACCCCCCCTGGCACCCACCCCAACCACCTTCTGTTTGGATGTGGGAGAGGAGCACGGACCAGTTGAGGCCTAACTGAGAAGAGAGGAGACAGTGACGACCGAATGTTTGAGGGTCTGCATGGAAAGTATGCTCCTTCAGCGGCCAGAATGGTGCGTACTTGTTCGAAAAATACACGTTTGACTCTCAGACTACTGTGACAGACCCCACGTTCTACGGGGGATGCTGTCAGTGCCATCCCAAGGTCAGCCTTTAGCACCATGCTGCAGGAAAAGATGAAGGAGATATGCTGGAGAGTGCTGGTGTTTGCAGACTTCTGTGGCCGTTGGAAATGAAGTATCTTTCCAGGAGCCAACAAGTTAACTACTCTCTTAGAAGCAAGATCAAAGGCATGCTGTTGCACTCGTGACATGGACTGTCTCTAGAAGGTATACGGCATGGAAAGACACGATCGGACAATGTGACGTAGACATAGGAAGGACAACAAGCCCATTACGCTCCCTGATCATGGAAGCGGCAGACCACCTGTTTGTACTGGAATATGGTCTTCCATGCTTATTTTCAGGGAGTGTATTTATACTAATTCCAACGAGACTTGGTCTTGTTACGGAATAATTTTCGCTATGCATTTACATAGCTTGGATTGGATAGAGAGGTTTGTGATGTGAGAAGAATGTGACCCTCATTAGGAGGGGTGAGCAATTGCTTTTGGGAGGATGTGTTGGACAACCAATAAAATACGTTTGGTGGATCAACATTGGAGACTATGCAAAGGAAGCTTTCTAGATGATATGGTTGTATATAATTTATCAAGTTATGGGACTTTAGTGACTGAAGAGATTGCCTCCAAATGAAGTTTGACCCCGAACACCTGCCTGGTAGGGTGGACAACGGGACGAAAGAAACATCAAGAAACATATTGATTGAACACAAAATAAACACTCAGGACTCGGGCTACAGGTTTTCCACGTGAAAGACAGTTCCAATGCTTTGGTGACATCGCCAGGACCCCAGTTGGCGCTCACAGCTGGGAATCCCCTCCGAAGCCTCCTTGCGCTCGGCCACAGGCGAACGGCGGGGTTTGGGGTGTTCGAATGGATGTGGGGCACGGAGCCCCACTGCTTGGTCAACCCAAAAGGGTCTCTTCCGCAAGCTGCTCACTTATTGCTTCAACCCATGATGTATTTATATAACAACAACCTCAACTCAAAAACAAAAGCATTCTCTTTTGTAGGACCTGTAACCTGATGTATGTACATGGTACATTTGCCAGGAAGTCGTCTCAGGAGGTGTTCTGGAGTATAGTCCACTCCAAAACTTAGAACATTTTCAGTCACCCTTTCATTGCCTGGACACCAGCTACGCCTCGCTCAGACTTCCTCGAGGGCTCGGCGGGCACGTCGGGTGTGACTTGGATGCGATTTGTAATGACCACCAAACGCTGTTGTGACTGCTGTTTGTAAGTGAGAAAGTTGCACCATGATTTCCCTTGTCCTTGGCACCTCGCGGTTCGAAACTAGGATCCTGAGCCTTTACCCGTTTTTCACCTTGCGGTGTGCGGAAACATGTTTGCGCGCTGATCGCCGATCGGACGCTGTCGAGTTGGCACCGGAGCTTGGCTTGGTGCTTTTGGACGGCCGTGTAGGCCTTTGGCATTTCGATGCCCATCCCTTTCAGGGGGGCTGATCCTGGCGACGAGGAGCTCGCTTCCCACCTTTCGGACTACGACTTCGACTATGACTTCGAGGCCTTCGACGGTGGTGATGGCGGCGATTCGCCATGGTCGGATCCCTGGTCGGAGCCTCAAGCACCAAGAACACCGATCCAGGACACGAAGGATGATGATGAGCCCACACCATGGCGCTGTTTGCGTTGTGATGGCCAGCGGTTCTCTCCCTCGGAGGGCCACAGCGGTTGGATTTGTTTGACGTGCTCCCACGACGAGTTCTACCGGGTCGACAGGCCTACCAAGAAGGTGAACCCCTCTGGCACCTGGGTTTTCGTTCCTACCTCACCCGGCAGGGAATCCAAGGCCCAGAAGAGACACCGCAGGAGGACCAAGCATGGAGGCCCACCGGATGGAGATGAAGGAGATCTATATGAAGAACAAGCCGAATCAGAAAGACTCACCAATGACCCAGTGGTCGAACCTGAGCCACAGGGTGCAGGACGCCAGCTTGGTGGTCATGGACGAGGCCCACGACGAGCTCTTCCAGGAACACCTGTTCGAGGTTCCGGAGTATCTCAAGGCCCTCCACCTGATCTACCTGATCCACCGGGCGCGGCGGACCCTCCTGGCGCAGCTGGATCGCCACATCGGTCGACGGCCCCTCGAGCCCCTCGATTACCCGATTCAGGACGCCTTGAACGTTCTGGACTACCTGATCAGACTCCTGACCGGTCACGACATTCCGGGAAGGAGGACAAGAGCTCATCTCAGGGCTCATGGAACTCAAAGAAAGGGCCAGCACCAGGCCTGAAATGGAAGTCGGGACAACCTCCTCCTGTCCCGACATGGAAGTACGACCAGTCTGACATGAGGGCATTTGCAAAGTTCACCAAGAAGATCAGCATCTGGCGCCTCCAAATGGAAGCTTACGCCAGCAAGAAGGACCAGGCCCTCATGTTGTACAACGGCCTCACTGGTGAACTTGAACAAGAACCGAACATTTGGACATCGAGCAAATCCATCGGGATGACGGAGTGGACGTCATCATGAGGCTTTTGCAGCGGCCATTTGAGCAACGCATCATCTACCAAAAACGTCGCTTCCTGCACGAGTTCGAATCCTTCCGCCGCTTCAACCAGGAAAGCATGCGGGCCTATGTGCAGCGCTTCAGACGCGTTCAGAGGTCCCTCCTGGCGGTCGGAGTCGACATATCGGGAACGTTTGATTCCGATTCGCTCGGCTCAAGGCTTTTGGACCGCAGCGGATTGAGTCATCATGATCAACGGATGATCTTGGTGGGCACGCAACAAAGCCTTAGCTTTGAGGCCATTGCAGAATGCCTCGTTCTCCAATGGCCAGAGTTCAGACCGGCTCCAGCGGTCATGTCTGGATCCGGAAAAGGCAAAGGGAAGAGTTTGACCTCGAGCTCTTCTACCTCCTCCTCGACTACCACATCGAGCTTCACGAAAGGTGGCAGCAAAGGACCACCAAGACGGCAGACCTACTTGACTGAGGTCCCCGAGATGGAGGTCGCTGAAGATGAAGAGTTCGCCGATGCTCAGGAAGACCCCGAGTGTGACGCTGATGGCGATGCAGAGCCATCGAACGGCGATGACGCCGAAGGAGATCCTCAAGAGGACGAACCTGACCTCTCCGAGCTCGCTGAGGTCCTCACAGTGACAGCCCGAAAACTCAGCGGCATCACTTTGGGTCGAAAGTTTTCCAATTCAGCTGGTGGCAAAACCAAGAAGTTGCCCGAAGAGCTTCGAAAAACGACTCACTGCTCGGCATGTGGCGCCTCGGGCCACTGGTATCAGGACTATGTCCACTCAATCCAGGAGCTGGTGGAGGAAAAGCTGGAGGAAAGTCCGGCAAAGGACCAAAGGGATCCTCGACCTCCTATCGTTCAGCAGGTCACGACAAAAAGCCCACTCACTCCGTGTCCGTCGTGCAGCACCACCAGTATGGGTCGTTGGAGGTTGGGACGCCCCCGGATGAGTTTGGTTCAGCTTTCTCCATCAACATGGTCAATAGCATCCCCTACAAGGTCAATGAGGTCAAGAACTATTCCACGGACGGGGAGCTTGCTGGTTTTATGGTTTTGGATTCGGCATGCCAAAGGACTTGTTGTGGAACCCTTTGGTATCGGCACCACCAAGAGCTTTTGGGAGACTACCCTATAGATCGGGTTAGGTTTAAAAACATGAGTTAGGTTATTTGAAACAACCTAACCTAGATAGTTAACTATAACCTACGTAGGTTAATTGAAATCAAGGTTGTGGTTAGGTTATTTGCATGAATAACCTAACCTAAGCTTAGGTTAGGTTAAGTTAAAGGTTAGTTTATTCTTATGAATAACCTCAGGTTAAAGGTGTATTTTGAAACAAAACCTGATGTAAGTTTACTTGTTGGAGCTCTTTTCGCCAGTTGTTATTTTAGAGCCTTAACGGTTTTTGGAGAAGAGAAAGAGAGAGAGAGAGAGAGAGAGAGAAGACAAAGAGAGAGGAGAGAAGAGAAGAGAAGAGAAGAGAAGCGAAGGGAAGGGAAGGGAAGAGAAGAGAAGCGAAGCGAAGCGAAGGGAAGGGAAGGGAAGGGAAGGGAAGAGAAGGGCAAAGCAGAGCAGAGCAGAGCAGAGAGAAAAGATAAAAGAGAAGAGAGAAGAGACGAGAGAGGAGAGAAGAGAAAGAGAGAAGAGAAAGGAGGAGAGAAGAGAGAAGAGAGAATCGGAGGAATAGAGAAGAGGAAGAGAGAAGAGGGAAAGAGAAGAGGGAAGAGGGAAGAGAGAAGAGACAGAGAGAGAAGAGACAAAGAGAGAGAGAGAGAGAAAGAGAGAAAGAGAGGGAGAGGGAGAAGGGAGAAGGGATAAGGGGAGGAGGGGAGAGGGGAGAGGAGACAGGGAGAAGGGAAGAGAGAAGAGAAGGGAGGAGAGAAGAGATGAGAAGAGAAGAGAAGAGAGAAGACAAGAGAAGAGAAGAGAAGAGAAGAGACGAGACGAGAGGAGAGGAGAGGGAGAGGGGAGGAAGAGAAAAGAGGAAGAGCAAAGAGGAAGAGAAAAGAGGAAGAGAACAGGAACAGAGAAAAGAGAAAAGAGGAGGAGAAAAGAGAAAGAGAGAGAAGAGAGAAGAGGAAGAGAGAAGAGAAAGAGAGAGAGAGAGAGAAGGAGAAGAGAAGGGGAGGGAGAAGGAGAGAGAGAGAGGGAGAGAGAGAGGGAGAGAGGAGCGAAAGAGAGAGAAGAGAAAGAGCGAGAAGAGAAAGAGAGGAGAGAATGAGAGAAGAGAAAGAGAGAAGAGAAAGAGAGAGGAGAGCAAAAGAGAGAAGAGAAAGAGAGAGAAGAGACAGATAGAGAAGAGAAAGCGCGGAGAGAATGAGAGAAGATAAAGAACGAGAAGGGAAAGAGAGGAGAGAATCAGAAAAGAGAAAGAGAGAAGATAAAGAGAGAGGAGAGAAAGAGAGAGGAGAGGAAGAGAGAAGAAGAAGAAGAGAGAGAGAGAAGAGAGACGAGAGAAAAGACGAGAGAGAAGAGAGAGAAAAGAGATTAGAGAGAGAAGAAATTGAAGGGAGATAGAGAGAGTGAGAGAGAAGAGAAAAAATAGTGAATCACATTTTCCTGAGTCATCGCCCCCTAGTGAGGGCAAGGGCCCCTAATGATGCACGTGATGCGTGCCGAACTCTTTCTTAGAAGGCTTTGAAAAACCAGCGCGGGAACCTTCCGAGTTTTTTCTTTCTCGGAAGTTTCTCGCGTGGGCCCCTTCCATCCAAACCGATGCAGGGAGGGAGGGGAGGGAGGGGAAAAGGCTTTTGAAATGAACCCACAAAGTGCTCTCAATTGAAGATCTTTCATTTGAAGAACTCTCAAGTGAAGATCTCTTAAATGAAGAAACCTCTCAAGGGAAGAAACCTTTCAAACTCTCAAGTGAAGAACTCTCCATGGAAACCTCTCAAATGAAGAAACCTTGCCGATTCCAACTATTATCAACATATGCTTTAAGTAAACTTCCAATATACTCAAGTAAAAAGAGTCTAAGACTTTCCCACCTATTCTCAAATGACACAATTTCGCAAGTAAAGCTGGATGTCAACATCTTAGGATATATTTTTTGAAATGGCATCTTTCAGTAGTTTTTAATTGAGAGCTTTGGAGACACCAAGACACCAGGAAGGGAGATTTCAAAGTATTTGGCAAATTGCCTTTGGCCACAGAGTAACTAAATGGGAATGCGGGGCGGTTGTTAACAGAGGGTCAGGGGACAGTTCACTGAGGGTTTCACTTGAGTTCTTTTCCAATTCCATCAGATGAAGGTAATGCCGAAAATATGGGTTTCTAAGATTTTCTAGACAGATTTTCATGAATTTCTTGAATATTTTGCATTTGTTTTCAACGAGTTTTCTTGCTTTGGAAGTATAGTTGTGAAAGGTTGATGAAAAGTTTGATGAAAAGTTGCATGAAAGTTTCATGAAAGTTTCACTGTGGTATGAAAGTTTGATGAAAGTTTTCATGAAAGTTTCATGAAAGTTTCATCAAACTTTCATACCAAAATGGAAGTTTCATGAAAGTTTCATAGTACATGGAAAGGTTCATGAAAGTTTCATCAAACTTTCAAGTTGATATGAAAGTTTCATGAAAGTTTCATCTAACTTTCATGATCATATGAAACTTGCATGAAAGTTTCATGAAACTTTCATCCAACTTTTCATCAAACTTTCACAACTATACTTCCAAAACAAGAAAACTCATTGAAAACAAATGCAAAATATTCAAGAAATTCATTGAAATCTGTCTCAGAAAACATATTTTCAGTATTACCTTCACCTGATGGAAGTGGAAACGAACCAAAAAGCTCTAACAAATATTTTGAGCAATGACTAACAATATTTCAGCTAGTGAACTATTGTGTATTCAACCCTGTTTGATCGCATTTGAACAAACATGCACTCAAGCTCAAGTGAAGCCTCTCAGGTGAATCTCTCAGCTTAACCATTGGCCTTGGTGAAAGGTTAGCTTTAGATAAGCAAAGCCTAAAGTGAAACCTCTCAAATGAACCTACCAGTCCCAGGTGGAGTTGACTAGAAACTGCACTCAAGTGAATTATATCGCAAAGGATCGCTTCAGAATAGCCAACTCTCAAGTGGACTCTCACTACCACTGAAGTGAAATAAATCTCACAGGATCGCTTTAGAACAGCCAACTCTCAAGTGAACTCTCTCTACCATTCCTCATATCCTTTTAAAAAAGAGAAATATGTAATGAATATGTAATTGCATTTTTTCTGCAAGTTCTGTTATTCCAGCTCTGAGCTCCTCATAGCTGTAGCTCAATCTACTCCTCCTCTCTGTGTCTCTCTCTCTCCCTCTCCCTCCCTCTCTCTCTCCTTCTCTCTCCTTCTCTCTCTTTCTCTCTCCTCCTCTCTCCTTCTCTTTCCTTCGCTCTCCTGCTCCCCTTCTCTCTCCTTCTCTCTCCTTTTCTCTCTCTTCTCTCTCTCTCTCTCTCTCTCCCTCTCCCTTCCTCCCTCCTTCCCTCCCTCCTTCTCTCTCTGTCTCTCTCTCTAACTCTATCTCTCTCTCTCTCTCTCTCGCTCTCTCTTTCTTTCTTTTTTTTCTTTCTTTCTTTCTTTCTTTCTTTCTTTTCCCTCTCTCTCTCTCTCCTCTCTTTTTGTTTCTCTTTCTCTTTCTCTGTCTTTTTTCTTTCGCTTTCTCTGTCTCTTAGTCTCTCTCTCTCTCTTCTATCTTCTCTTTTCTCTCTCTTTCTCTCTCTCTCTCTTTCTCTCTCTCTCTTCCTCTCCTCTCTTCCTCTTCTCTCCCTTCCTCTTCTTTCTCTTCCTCTTCCTCTTCCTCTTGTCTTCTCTTCTCTTCTCTCTCCTTCTCTTCTCTCTCTTTCTCTCCTCTCTCTTTCTCTCCTCTCTCTTTCTCTCCTCTGTCTTTCTCTTCTTTCTCTTTTCTGATTCTTTCCTTTCTTTCTCTTCTCTCTCTCTCTCTCTTTCTCTTCTCTCTTTCTACTCATAGTGAACAACCCCTCAATTCAAAAAAACATTGTTCTCAACTGAACAACACTCAAGTGAAACCACTCTCAAGTGAACAACCCCTCGACTATATTAACACGTCTCTCAAGGGACGAACTTTCAAGTGAAAACGCTCTCAAGTGAACAACCCCTCAACTATAGAAACATATCTCTCGACCAAAGAACCCACAAGTGAGAGAGAGGGAGAGAGAGAGAGAGAAGGAGAAAAAGAATGAGAGAGAGAGAGAAGGAGAAGAGAAGGGGAGGGAGAAGGAGAGAGA